AAGCATAATAGTTGGTGTTGTCGAGTACGTGGGTGACCAATATAGTACTTGAGATGTCGTTTCCACCAATGTAGTAAGGGCTGCTGGGATTGGTAGGATCATTAAGTTGAATGTTCGACATTGGATTGGCGTTTGAACTTTGCTCAATGTTTGCATTCTGGTTTGTTGTTTCCACAGTGGTGCTTTGATTATCAGCCATAGTTTATGGCTCTAATCCATATAAGAAATGGAAATGAAAAATGTAAATTAAATGCACACTGATAATGCAGGACAAAACCAGCTGAAAATTGTATTGAATAAAAATGATAATTGTGTGTCCATCTATTCACCTTTACATCAATATATAATGCATGTAGGAATGATCTAGAATCATTATAAGGATAATAGATTTGGCAGGGAAATGAATAAAGAATAAAATATGTCTAACAAAATTTACAGCAGAGAAAAAAATAGAAAAGGAATGGCTTCCATGTGTATCTTCTTGAATGGACGTTTCTACCCTTCTCTTTGCTGATCATCAGGTTACTCATTCTTCCTTCATTTGTGCTTTTCATTTCAATAGAAGGAGTTTCACTAAAATAATGTTTATTACCATGTCATGCTGAGGGATTCCCTCAGCGATGCAAACAGCCAAATATAGCTTAGCCTCCATAATAGCTTGAGCCGCAAAAGGAGAAGGAACGTAAATCACTGCTGCATTAGCCTTCATTTCCCTCTGCTAAAGTGTTGAAAACAGAAAGTCCCAAATGTTATGTTCCACCCCCTCCAACCTACATAAGTAGACACAAATTATGAGGGGGTGGAAAATGAGGAAGAAACCCATCCAGTTTAAGAAATTCTAGGACAAAACACGTTAGCATACAAATTCTTCATTTTCCGTGGGGAAGGGGAGCAATGCTTTATACTTATAGAATTGGTCCCTTACATTCACTGAATTCCATTTCGTTGTTCATGTTTTTTCTGCTCTTTGTCCTATTTTCTACTGCATGTTTAATCCTACGAAAGTCTTAAATAGCTTAAAAAATGTTCAAATGTCTCAAAAAGATGAGCACTGATCATATATGGGAGAATTTTATTAATGAGAAAGTTTGGGATGAAATATGAATCTGACATCCATGTTTCTCAAAAAATAAATCAAAATGATGTGGATGCAAATGGATAACGGAAGCAATGAAGGGCAAGGTACCACGCTTCAGTACTTTTTCCATATTATAGGATTTTAAAAACAGTATCTAAATTATATATGCGGCGTGTGACCACAGTCTCAATCCCATGCATCGTATGTGTGCAAATACAATAAAATGCATAAAATGACCATTTTTCCAATGGTACAAGCACTGCATCACATCGTACAACAAACTATTTTCACTACCCTATAGAGTCAAATTTGTACCTTGGTAAGAAATTACGAATTTCTCGAATCATTAACAAAACCCACATAAAAACAAGATAAAAATTCGCATCACTTGCAAAAAAAAAACACAATTATGGACGAACATTGTGAGAAATGACATGACCAATAAGAAGCAAATACCATTTTGATACCGTATTCAAATACCTGTTCCATGTAGAAAGTGTCATTCTTGCCGGTGATGCCTTGGCGGATTACCCTAGTGTTTTTGTCCACGAATACAGTAGGCAGAGGTAGAGGTGATCCAAAATTGCGGTACTACTATAGCTGCTTTGGGTAAAACAACAATCGGTAAAAAGGGTTACTCGGGAATGGGGCGGATAAGGAAATTTCTTCTTGCTTGAGCTTTTTGTCATTCTAGTGTCCTCAACAGCAACTAATGGGTTTTTCATTGTCGGGTTGGGAAGGAAAATTTAGGGACAATTCTCTTTGTTTTTCAGTTTTTTGTTTTGAGTTTTGAATTCATTTTGAAATTTGAGTGTCTGTTTTGAAATTTCTGAAAATGCGTTCTTTTTGCCATTCTGAAAAACTGTTTCTGTAAACATAAAAATGGAAAACGCGTTTACTTTGAAATTTTGAGAATTTTTTTAAAGTAATATTTTATTCAAGAAATCTG